CTCTTCAACCCAGGAATAACTCGGATAATAAATTATTTTAATTTCTCCCTATTTGAAAAACATTTGTGTTGGGGTCCCTGCTGTCCTGACACCTTGGGAAGATTCTTGGGAATTTTTTGAGAATATTCTTGGAAGTAATATTGGTAAATATTGATGTAACGGAACATTGGAAATATTCTTGGAAAAAATATCATGGGAATCGTTTTCTTTAATTTGTGTTTTAACAGTTCCAGACTTGTACAAACTTCCAACAGTTTTAATGGAGCCTTCAATTTTTTAAGTACTCAAGAACCCAGCAATTGCTTTCATTTTTAGGTATTTTTCTTTCATATCTTTCCTAATGCAAATTTCTTCAGGTTTGTTTAGGGTTAGTAATAACCTTAATGATAGAAAAAGTTTGCCTCTGAGACTCCAAGCCCTACATATGTGTGTTTTTAGATCTCCCATCTCTCCCCATTTGCAAGGAATGTCGCTAAAACATGCTGATGCTCTGATTCTGGACAATGGATAAATTCTATGGAATGTTTTTTCCATCCCCTCACATCTTCTTAGCTCTACTTTCTACCCTTCCTGACTGACACTGTCTTTCATACCCTTTTTCTAAACATTTTGCACTGAATTCCTCCAAGATATTCCTCACACTTGTTATGTGTCATTTGCCTTAACTGCAGTTGCCCCTGTAGTTATTGCACATCTGCTCATCTGTCCTTTGACTCCCTTGGTCTTCTACACTGACCAGAGTACTAAGTACTTTCTTTTAGTTCTCATTTTGCTCCTATGGAGTGGACAAATAACTCATACATTTTTCATTCTTCTGTCGGGGTCACTGACCAGATGCGCACTGATCAGAGTACTAAGTACTTTCTATTTCTTTTAGTTCTCATTTTGTTCTTATGGAGTGGACAAATAACTCATACATTTTTCATTCTTCTGTCGGGGTCACTGACCAGATGCAGACAATCAACTTGTTCAGTGGCACCCACAGCATGAATATCTAAAGCAACAGACTGTGGTGCTCTGCAGCAGTGAGGACACATATTCTCTGTATTTCTTAAAATCTGATGATGGTGAGTTTCTCAGCAAACCGAAGTTTAATACTGATTTCTTTTTCTAAAGGTACCTTGGTAATGCAATGATCATTCTGAGTCACTAGTGTATCAGGGCATGTTTGAGAAGTGTCCTGTAAAGAAATCTTCTGCCATAATTATTTTAGCTGCCCATACTGGGGGTAGGCTCAAATAAAAGAATATATAGCATTACTTCCTCTTACAAACTGCCAGCAGATAGTCTGGCAGATCTCGTCCTACCTGCTTATTACATTACTTTTTACATCTGTGTGACGACATGTAGAAGTCTAGAGACCTGAAGCATTACATTTGCTTAAGCACAGAAGTCAAATCATAAAAGAGCCACTGCTTGCACTATAACAATGTAGACATATCAATACTGCTCCTGACTATCAAAGTTGGTGGTATTATCATAATTATCTGTGTTCTGAGCATAATTTGGGAATCTATTCAATTATACAGTGTACCATCTTACCTAAAGTAAACCAATGTTTTATTAAACTAACTGGAATTGAATTGCTCCATTTAAAATGTTTCTAATTTAAAAGGTTCATTTTGGAAAGGCTGTTCAAAATGGAGCTAATTAGCTGGGATTGCCTATTTGAATACTGTATAAAATACATGAAATTTTTCCAAAATATGTTAAAAATAATTGAACCAGCTGTGGAAAATAAAAAAAAGGGTTTTGCTATGATTGCCATGCAGGATACTTTTTTTTGTAAAATTATTTTATAAATTATTTTAATCTATCAGTCTTTCATATACTTACAATTATATGCTCATCTAATTCTAAAACCAAAAGTTGATATTTGTTACTGAACTGTGATTCTTACTCAAAAAACCCCAAACCAAACAAACACAAAAAAATTAAAACCAAATCTTTTTTTCCTCAATTTTTTCCTTGTATTTATAACAGGATTAAAATTTCAGAAAGCTTTCTGAAAATATCCCCTAAATTAATTAGTTTCCTTTTACTTTTATGGATTCTAGCTGTAAACCTGTTTCATATAAATAACTATTCTAACATTTTAGTCTGATTTACTATTAATCTTGAAGTTGTAATGCTTTGGGGCTTATAGAGGGGAGACAAGTAGCACGGACAAACCAGAAGGGGTTCAGGTGGGGCTGGACTGAAATGGGTCCCCCCAGGGACGTTTGGTAGTGTCAATGAAGACTGGTAGAGCCCTCATGGCCCTGACAGTATCCTTCTGTAATATTTTAGTTATTAGCATATTGACATTATTAAAGCTCTATGTAACTGTAAGAACATTCTTATATTGTTGGGTTTTGTTATCTACAGTGTAATTTTTGAAATGGCATCACAAATCATTGTAAACTGAAGTTTACATCAAGAGAGAAACGGGTCTGGTAATGGAGAGAGAAAATGATCCAGTGTTTTTATGCTTTAGATATGTTTGTATTCCTATGAGTGATATTCATTGCACTTTATATTCATCTTGCAGATCAATATTTCCACTTATTTCAGCTAAGTCTTCTCTGAATGTCTAGCTCCTCTGAGCAGACTATTTTTGAATTCCTTGAACTCTAGGCACTTCCTGCATAAAATAAAGTGCAGGTAAACAATGTGGATGAAATGCTGGACTTGTTAAACTGATAGGAGTTTTGCCACTGCATTTTCTCTTGTCAAGTATTTAAGACTGCTGCTCTATATTTGTCATCAAAAAATGAGGAATATAGATTTAAATTCTTAACCTCTTCAGCCCTCTTTTTATTTTTTATATAATACAAATTTTTCACCTAATTTTTCATTATCCTGTATTTCATAATTTAATATCCAAGGTTCTTTTTTTAAAAACTAGAACATGGGAAGCAGATTTTAGCCTGAGGTTTGTTTTAAGTATTTTTCTGTGGTGAGAGGAAAGAAACCTTCAGATCAGACTGTGATCAGTCTTTGTGAGTGGAAGTTTCCAAACCTTTGCTGAACTGGCAAAAATAGGCATGGCTGTATCCTCCCTTGCTAAGGATAAGATTATTCTAACCGAGAAGACTTTTAACCAAAAAGTTACTAAACAAAAGTGAAAAGGGCTCCTAAAGGCTTTTGGCCTTGCAGATGCCTATTAGGACAACAGTTTTTCCCAGAGCAGCAGTTGCCTGGACTAATGATTTTCAAAAGACCATAAGGAAAGTGGAAATCAAGTGGTGAGAAAAAGGTCCTTAACAGCTGCTTTTGTTGCTAGTAGCTCCCTTGATTGCATCACATGTTCATCTCAAACTAGTAAAATTGACACAATGTCTCACTGATAATTATATCTTTTTATCTGGAAAAATGGACAAGCCAAACAGTCTGTTTCATCTGCCAGAATCTGTGAAGCAGAGGTAATTGGCAGGATGTTAGAGAGGTCATAGCACAGTCCAGTGAGAGATTAAATACACCTGAACTCCTTGAAATTATCTCAGAATCATTTCAGGCTTCCCAGGGAACCAATTATCATTTAAAGTTAATAATCATAGTGAAAACAACTGGGAAGAATGTTTCCTGTACAGGAAAACTCTGGATAAAAAGGAAAGGACTGTAAAGTATAGAAAATTTTAGAGAAATTATGCATCACTCAGGTAAAAATAAATATTTATCCATGTCTCTCTATTTAATTTCCTTCTTATCTAAAAAACTTTCAAGAACAGCAAGAACCAATATATTAAGAGACACACATACGAGGTCTCTTTAACCTTACATACTTAATCCAGGGATGACCAATAATGGATGCCCAGGGAAGAATCTAAGAATATAACAAGTATATAATAAATTTTCCAAATATCTTCCTAGCCTTTAGTCATTCCTACCTAAGGCACTCCCCAGCTGTTTCTGTCAGATGTCTTCATGCTGTTGGATAAACATACGTAAGCATACTGACTGCTAGCAATCTGCCAGAGGCTTTACAGTGCCCATGGCCTCTCTGCAAGCTTCAGGAAAAGAGCTGTATGGTATCAGGTGATTTCAGGGAGAAAAGTGCCTCTCTGCAGCAGCAGAGACAATCCTACTTTTTCCTTTCTCTCATGCACTCACCCCACTCCAGTGAGAGCATGATTGGTGAGCTTGCACTTTTTTTTAGGCTGTTTCTCTTGGCTCTCTTTTGCAGCTCTTCTCCTTTCCTGCACATCTGCGCTTCCCCTAAAGGAGTGCATATGGCTCGTCATTCTTCAAGAAGCAAAATTCCATTCTTTTTGGGATTGTTTATGCTGGTTTTGAACACAGGATAAGCTTACACCTATATATGCATTTTTCAAAAGCTCAAACCTAGTTGGATGCTGAAAGCCAGGTAGTCATCCTGCCAACTGACGCCAAAATTGTTAAGACTGTGTTTAAGACAAAGTGTTTGTCTCCTTGCTGTATCAGTTTGATCCCTAATAGTAAATCCCTGCAAAGTACTAATGGCAGTGGATCAGAGCTCTCTGTTACAAGATCTCGCCTTCCAGTGCTCTCATTGTTTTCTTTGAGAGTAACAATTCTCTTTATCTTCAAAGAAATGCATGTCTGTGTTTGTAAGGTTTTAGTAAGAGCAATGCAAATTTTAAAGCATGCGCAGATTAATGGAATAATACAATATAGAGTTGGTTAGGTAGTTAAAAATGTGCAGGTTAACAATATATGGGAAAGGCTAGTGGAACAGGTTTGCATTAATGTTTTTTGAGTTTGGAACTTTGTAATATTAAAGGAAATTAAAACAAAGAAATCAAGTTCAAATCTGATTTCTGGAGCAGGGGTTGTATGCACAAAGATTTCAAGCTTAAAATAGTATTCTTGGAATTCTTTAATATAAAAATTTGACTTATAAAATATTTAATGAAATTGTTAAAAAGGGCTGTTGTACTTGACACAACTTCCCTCTCAGCATGCATGTTAATACTAAGTTCTAACGTAATTTTACCTCAATTTTTTGTTCTCTCCTTTATTGTCTCATACATGTTTCCCAGGATAGCCCACTGGTCTTACAGTCTGACAGAAATGTAACAGTGAATGCAAGAAATCACATGGGACAGTTAACTGGACAACTGACAGTAGGTGAGTGTTCTTTATTGACTGTTATGTTTATCAATTTAGCTTTATTAATATAAAATATTACTGAAAAGTCAGGAAAAAGAATCTCATCACCATGCTCAAAAACCATTGCGTACAATGAATCATAAGAGCATGATTCAGCATTAGCTCAAGGAAGAAAAACTAGAAATGCCTCAAAAATAGCTAAATGAAAACAGCTTAATGAAAAATTATTATTTTTGAGACCATTGTAACAAAACAAACTGAAAAAGCCTCAGCAAAATATGTTTCAACAACATTTCCAGTGGGACAATAACCATCATTTTCTTACACTTTCTGTCAGTCTTCCATTACTTCAGTGGCAATTGCTTTGGCCCTGTCACTTGTGTAGGGCATTTGTACCAGCACATATTCAAAGTGGTTGGAGTAACATAATGTTAAAAATCAGAAAAAATCAGAAAAAAAGACCCATATTTCAAAGTGCTTTCCTAGTCACTACAAAAATTAAATGAAAAGCTAACATATTTCTAGTCATTCATTAAAACTGATAGTTTACAAAGTATGAAATATAGCAGTTCCAAATGAAATGGATATAAAAGAATCCTCTACTTAACTGTTTCACCTACCATGTATTTCCCCCGTTTTATGAAATTTATTGTGTTATACTTTGTTTTTAGTATGAATCATACTTCTTGTGTTAATAAATATGAAGTAATATTTTTTATATTTTCTGAACTAGAAGAATACTGATATTAATTTAGTTTTAAGAATCTTTGCCAAAAAAAAATTATTTGAAAATTGATTTACTAGTTCTGGTACAAAACAATATATTTTGACTAGTAATGGGATAAAAAATATAACAACATACGTTCATAAGACCTTAGTATATAGAATTCAAGGAGACACCCCTTAGACTTTATTTGTTTTATTTTTTTTCATTTTACTTCTGGATTAAGATGTGTTCTATTCATTGTTTTTTCCTCATGTGCTGAGGTTATGCCCACAAATAATTTTTAGTTAAACCCTAGTTGTAATCTATACTAACTTTTCATACTGACAGGAGACAGTGGCTTCTTGTTGTAAAAATCTTTTCCAAGTGCACTCAGTGACACACCATCTGCACTGATTTCCCTGAACAACCACATCGAATGAGTGTGCAAAGGTAACCAGACTTGCTAGCAGGTACAGATGAGCAAAATTAAGCTAACACCTGTTCTGACCATATTGTACTTGCCCAGTGCAATTATAAAACGCAGTCCTCTATCATCTGGTAACACTACTGTTAAAACCTCTACTTCAGCTGGTAATTGCAAAAAGGTGAGTTGTCCATGGCAGACATTCACATTGACTGAAATAGATATAATATTTTTATCACTGACACTATTCTGGCTGAGTGAATCCAGCACTGAAAATGTGTGTGTGTATTGAGGCTGACCTACTTAAAGGCATCACACTAGAAGTTAATACTGTAAAAACATGAAGGCCCGAAAAAACCATGGTTTTATGTTACTGTCATTAAGGTGAACACCTTAAGCTTCTTGGTGTGCAGCTGGTGCTGTCTCTGGAGACTAAAAGCTTGTTAAATTGCAATATTGTATTTACATTATTTCTTAATCTATCTTCCTCTTTCTTTCCTATATGGCCATTGTTATTTCTTATGTTGGTATAAAAACTTTTTTTTTTGGTGAATCCCCTGTACAATATTGGATGCATGTTAAAATACTCCTTATCTCTTATTAAATACTTCTTACTTAATAAAGATAGTCACAACTGCCATTAGAACCAGTAATACCTAGATGTTCTACTTTTAAGAAATCAAAGAAATTAACAGGAACCTTAAAGTAAAAATATATTATTAAGGCACTCTTCTCAATTTTTTGTTGTGAAAGACAGAATATAGACAAGTTTTTACTTTTGCCTAGGTAAAAGCATGGCCACATCGGCTGAAAGAATAGGAGGGGACTTTTCTATACAGAGTTTGCTGATGGAAGAAAACATTTTTTTCTCGTAGTTGTAAGTGTGCCTCAGAAAGTCCCTGTCTTTAAAAATGCTCTCTGTCCATTCCCTAGTGATGTGTGCTGAAGCAGCTGTTTATGTGACTGCCCAATGAAAGGAATGAAAATAAACAGTGAAGAAAAATGTTTTAAACAACAAAAAAAGCAAATTATCATGTCTTGGGGAAAAACTTTTCTTGTTAAAACTCTGAAATGTTGTTATCTGTTCATTCTTTAAAGAGTTGAATAATAATCATTAAAAAAATAGACTACAAATTAATATGCATGGCAAGAGCATTTTACAAAGAAAGAAGAATGCCAGTGCATTCAAAAGGATGATAATGCACTTTTTATACATGTGATATCATTGGCATTTTATCCACATTTCACAGGACTGAAGTCCAGTGAAATGTGGATACAAACCAGCAAATAGGCTGGTCTCATCCTGTGCTTGGCAACCAAATTGCCGCTCATGCCAGATTCTAGGACAACTAAAAATTATTTCTGTGGTGTTTGAAACCATGCCATGTAAGACTAAGACAGCCTTAAGAGCATATAATTAGGGAAGATGGATTAATGTAAAAAAGTGTTACTGTTATTGGGCTGGGAGGAAGATGGCTATATGTTCACTCAGGGAGATGGAAAAAAATCCAGTGAAACTCTTAACAGGTATTCAGTTCTGTAAGTGACAAAATATGTCATTAAAGTCATCATTAAGACATCTTGGGATAGATCCTAACCTAGGAGGAGTGAAGAAAAGGTATATGAAATATTTTTTTTTTAAAGTAACTAAGTGTATTGGATGATGGAGTGGTTGCATGTTTAAATGTTATAAATTCAAGTTATGCATCAGGTCATACAAGACCAAGGGTACACCCATTAGTGCAGTACAGTATTTTTTATACTGGCACCAAAGTCTGTACAGAGAGAAAGTCACAGCTGTAGCAATGCTCTCTGTTGGGAACTGTACCAACTGAGCAAGAGATGTTGGTTTGTACTCCAGTCTATTCATGACATATGGTCTGGAAACTGCCAAGTTTGTGTCTGGATCTCCAAGAGAACTCCACAGCCTTCAGTTTTCAGACATGCCATTTAAGACCAATGGAGCAGATGTAGCACAGACGTGAACTGTATGTACAAAATAAAGATGAAAAGGTGACAATCCATTGAATTTTCCTGGATAAGTTGTGAGATCTCTCCCCTAGCAACCCTTATTACTAATACTTCTGCATTGTACATTCTACAGAATTACCTTTACACAACCTTTTGTCTGTGTTTAATCAATGTTTGCACAGTTTATATGGAATTTTTTTTTTATACTGATCTTAGAAATGCACCTTAGTTGCTCACCTTGAGCCACAAGTCTTTTGTCTCCATGCTCTCTGCACATGTATTACGTACCTCTGCCTGCCTTTTAGTGGGGTACATTAGGCTCACAAGCACTAAAAAAGTGTAATAGGACATTTGAAACTGAAACACACATTTTTGGTGAGAAGTGCTTTTTTCCTTACTTTTTTCCTTACTGCAATAATTGTTTCTGACAGGTATTTCGTATACTGCTTGACCCTTTTCTATTCATAAAGAACTCTTTGAAATGTGCAAAAAGAAAGCATTTCATTTCTGCTAAGCTTAGAACCCTCAGACAGAATCATAACTCTCACAGCTGTACAAGTCACAGCTTTAGAGAGCTCCTGAACCTGTCTCTCTAGTCACTGAGATCTACAGAACCATGCAAATTCAGAAAAAATATTTGAATACCACAGTTATATCACATTCTTGCAGCTACTTTTTGAAAATAGCAGGCAGATGTATGATTTTCAATTACAACACTGCTAAAGACTGATAACACTGCTAAAAGATATACTCAAATAACTTGTCAAGCTTGGAGGTCCTTTCCATACATTTACCACAAAACTTATCTTGTGTATTCCGAGATCTTTTTCTTTAAAATGTGCTTTCTTACTTGCGCAGAAAGTGTTGGACATTAGAAGCTGCAGGTATGTAACTTTGTGGGAGTGGGAGTCTCCTTCATCATTCATACCTGTATCCTGTATGGCAGTTTCCTATGCTTATATCAAGTGATACCTTAACAGGTTGCAGAAAGTGTTGGACATTAGAAGCTGCACTTTGTGGGAGTGGGAGTCTCCTTCATCATTCATACCTGTATCCTGTATGACAGTTTCCTATGCTTATATCAAGTGATACCTTAACAGGTAACACATCCTACTACCCCTTTGCTTCTGAGATCCTCAAAATAACTCATCATCTAAAGGCCACTCCTGATGTTCCCTTTGCAACGTTTATATATCAATGAAGATCTGAAGCAGGATACAATATTTCAAGTATTCTTGCTTTTGGAATCATTTATAGGAGAAACAAGTTGTTGTAATGTATTCTTACACAATGGGGAACTAGCAATAATAATAAAGTGCATGTACAAATATGTGTATACGTGTTGCTCTAAATCTTTTGTATTATTGTCAAATATTTACTTAAGATTTTTATGAACTTGAACTAAGTATCCATTAATAACATACTTAATAAGACAAGAAATATTGCTGGCTTTGAATCTTGTTTGCAAACACTGTAGACTCAAATGGAAGGTCTTTTCTCCTAAGTATTGCAAGAAGAGGGTGGTTTTAGAATGATCATACACATACCCCCTTTCCTCAAAGTTGGAAAAGGGAGAAAATGGTCTCAGCTTTTCTCTTATCTGCATAATTGTTCTTGTATCTTCTGTAGTAGGGTGCTGGGAGGGAAGGGATGAGTTGGTTTACAATCTCTCATCAGTTTCTGCCCTTCAGCAGGGCAAACATGGGTTAGAACTTCTCAGGAATATGTGAAAGAAGGGTCTTCTCCTGCTTACAAAGAGGTTTGCCTACCTGTCATTCCAAACTACAGTGAGATTTCCAAAATCTGAAATACTTTAAACTTTCTGCTAGTCTAATTTCTATATTAAGGCAATTGCTCTTGTAATCACTGTGGTACAGTAGGATAATTGTTATGACTAAGAAGATATGGCAAAACAAA